TATAGAGAGAGAGAGAGAGAGAGAGAGAGAGAGAGACAGAGGAGGGATCCATTTACTCTACGAGTAAGTTTACCTAGACTTACTTCATTTAATAACTTATGTTCTACGTTAAATTTCAACGATCCAACCGTTGAATTTAAAGTTCTTAATGCATAAATCAAATATGCAAATTTTAAAAAAATTTAAAAATCATTTGATACTTCATTTCATTAATTTAAATTGACAGATAATCATAAAATTATTTTATACATTATTTTGAATTAATGAAACGAAGTATTAAATGATTTTTAATTTTTTTTAAATTTGCATATTTGATTTATACATTAAGAATTTTAAATTCAACGGTTAAATCGTTGAAATTTGATGTAGAGCATGAGTTATTGAATGAATTAAGTCTTGGTAGACTTATTCCTAGAATAAACAGATCCCTCCTTATATATATATATATATACATTAATTTATTAATTCAAATTGACGGATAATTATAAAATTATTTTATACATTGATTTGAATTAATGAAATAAAATATCAAATATTTTTAAATTTTTTAAAAATTTGCATATTTAATCTATGCATTAAAAACTTTAAATTGAATGTTGAATTATTAAAATTTGATGTAGAACATGAGTTACTGCACGAAGTAAGTTTAGGTAGACTTACTCCTAGAGTAAAAGGATCCCATCTTTATATATGTTTTCCTTTCTCTTAATTCCTTATATATCTCGAAGAAATAAAATAGAGCAAACTTGTAAGTGGTCAATCTATTCAACCCGTTTTTAAAATATTGAGTGGATATATAAATATTTTATGATGAAGAAAGTTCCATTTGTTGAGTTATTCTTTACCCATTGAGCCCTTTCTAACTATTTATTACATTTTGGGACCAATCTACCCAACTCATTTGAATTTGGTTTAGTGTATTTTCTCTAGTGAACTCTTTTAGTCTCTATCTTTGATCTACTCGTTAGTCCATTTCCAATTGATTGAGTGAATCCATAAAATTTTAGGAATCATTAAACTTAATCAAACTAGCATGAAAACAAGAGTTCATAATTAAGTCACAAATTCATCATCTCTTTACAAACTTAGTTACACATCCTTTTAATTTGTACACATTTTTTAGGATTAAAACATAATTTTCTTTTAAATATAGTTAGATAAGTGTAAAAAAAAAAAATTCTAAGTAAAGTGGACACTTATCATAAATTTATTTAATTCTCTTATAATAGCCAATTAATTTTGAGACTTTAGTTATTATATTATGTTTTATGTTTTCATTGAACAAATTTATTATTTTTATTTTGGTAACAGTTGTAATTATGTGTAAATAATACCTTAAGTGTTTTATTCTATCTTATTTTAACACGAGATAAGTAAATTGTTGCAAGTTTTAGTCGAAGAATTAATTAAAGAACGAAAATGAACTGTATAATTAGTTAATTACAACATATGTGTTTAATTTTGAGTTTTTATTTTTTTATTTTTATTTTTTTTATTTTTTTAATTTTTTTAATTTTTTTTTATTTCCTTTTAATCAACTAAAGGGGCTAAAGCCCAAACAACAACGCTCATATACACAACAGCTGCAGCAACAGCCGTGAGGAACAAAGAAATAAAACCTGGAAGAATCTGACTCTCGAAGTAACTGGGTTTTTTTTTCTTTCTAATATATAAATTATAAAAGTAACTCAGTTAAAGAATAACTTAATTTTTTAATTAAAATAAAAATATAGTTAACTCAATTAAAATTAATTAATTTAAATAATAAAATATTTCTATAAAAATTTAAGAATTATTTTTTAACTTCCATCTATAATATTTAATTACAAAAATTTTAAAAAATATATCTAAAAATTATAAATTACAATTTAATTAAATTGTGACTAAAATAGAATTTTAGTCTCTTCTTTTTATATTGAATTTGAGTTTATTTTCCTAAATTTAAAAAGTTTTACTTTGACTTCTTAAAATATTTTTATATTCAAATTAATCATTCTATCAACTTTTACATTGAAAGTGTTAATTTTAATTGACGTGATATTTTTATAACTTATTATATATCATTACATTAACTAAATTAATAAGATAAATTGACTTGATGTATCACAAATACTTAAAGTACTAACTTAAAAATTGAAGAGGTGAAATTAGAAGCTAAAATACAAAAATAAGAGTTAACCTTAAATTTATAATTTAAGTTGAAGAAAAAGAATTGCGCAGTCGCAAGGGTACAAATAATGGTAAAGAATGAGAGGCATGAGGTTCAAATTTAAAATTCAAATGTTAAAGTTCAGGTTCATAGTTCATAGTTCATACACGACACGTGCTTCAAAACAATACGCCCACCCCTAAATTTGTATTTGCCGCGCTCATATTTTCGGGTCACACAATCTTCACAGCTGTTGCTTTGGAATTTGTCACCACGCCAAACCCCAGGTTCGGAAACTCCCAACCTAATACATCAAACAAAATGAAATAAAATAATCAATAATTAAATGTTTTTAACTATTAAATAATTAAAGTTTCATTCATATTTTAATTTTCTTATTTTTAAAATATCATTTAGTATTTGTAAAATATTTAGCAAAGAATTAAAAATATTTAATTTAATATAAATATATTGAATGTTGCTCCCTACTAAAATATTTGTTGACGAAATTTATTGATGAACACTATCAATATTTTTTTAATATAGTTTAATAAAACAATAAAATTTATGTAAAATTCATTAAATAACCAGACTTTTTTTTTTCCTTTTCAATTAATGATTTTACGTTTTGTTTAATAAATCCCATAACATAATAGCAACCAATAAAAAAAATGTTAAAAAAATTATTGTCCTTTCCCAAATTAATAATATAAGTAAAAAGCCAAATCCGAACCTAACCTAACCTGGTTCATGTCATGCGTAAGACATGTCGCGTAAACCCAGCCATGTATTGCTCACAGATGAGACAAGATTGAAAAAATAAAAATATTATTATTATTAAAATATAAAAATAGCGAAGTTGCGGCATGACTCTTTGATTCCCACTACTCGATTCTTTCATTCCATCACTTATTTCATTATCTGTTTTCCAATTCCCTCTCCATCACAACCATATTGAGCTTCAGCAAACAGAAGATCCAACGCAGAAACTGGTACGTATGTTACTTTCGTGTTCCCTTTTACACGGAATCGTTTCGTCGAATTTCTCTTTATGGCGAGAGTTGCAGCTTCATGTCATGAAATTTGGGGTTTTGCTTCGAATTATTGTGAAGCGTTGTTAGCAGAAGTAGACGACAGAAATTAATTTCGATCACGTCTCTTGCTTGACCTTATTTATTATTATTCGAATTATTTTTTTATTTGAAAATGACAGATAGAGGGTCACTCCTTCTTCTGTCTCTCTCTCATCTCAATTATGTGCAACTACTGTCACAGAAAAAAAAAAAAATTAGTCCAAATTTCATTGGAATCAAAATTTTGGATTTTTTTTACTTTGAATTTGAATCTGGTAACCTTTTCGTGAAAAGAAGATCCAGTACTTTCTAAGCTACTTTTTTTTTTTTTTTGGATTACATAATTCATTTTTCTTTGGTTACTTGGATGTAATTTTAATTGAATTAAATGCTCAACAACTACGGTGTTCACATGCAGGAATGAAGTGTTGATTGTTTTTTATTTTAAGGACCGGGAAGTGGGTATCCCTGGTCCATAGGATCTGATTTGGTGCACACTACGTTGTACACGTTCGTTTCTTGAAAAGCTCAAGTTTCCATGTCAATTTCTGAGAAGCCATCTTCATCGTTGACGTCTATAGCTGCTCGAGAAGTTGATCCGTTGTTGCAGGATTTGAATGAAAAGAAGCAGAGCTTTAGGCGCAACGTGGTGTGGTTGGCGGCAGAGTTGAAGGAGCTTCGTAGTCGCTTAGCGTCGCAGGAACAATCGTATGCCAAAGAATCTCTAACAAGACAGGTACAAGGTTTTCTTCTTGTGTTTTGTTTTTGGTTGCTTCCTGTGTCTTTTTGTTCAAATACAACTATTTGTTTCTTTTATCTTTCTCTTTTTGGCCGTGCTAGAAAAATTACATCTTTGATACCAATTATTTCTACTTTTTTTTAGTCTTTGTGGTCGTGGGGTCAGGGAAAAATCATGGGGTTTTTTGGGTCCAACAATTTTTTTTATGGATTTTCTTTCACAGGAAGCAGAGACAAATGCCAAGAACATGGAATTGGAAATTGGCAGGTTGGAGAAGAATTTGGAAGAAAAAAACGAGCAGCTTCAGGCTTCAGCCTCCTCTGCTGAGAAGGTTTCACACTTTTACTTGGGTTTACTTTTCATTATTATTATTATTATTTAATAGCGTATCTTGTGATCTTATTTAGTGGCCTGATTAGGATTGTTACCTCTTGTTATTATCTTTAAATTACTACACGATTCGCTAATTGTGTCTTTTGTCTGCCTTTTTGACTGAATTGGTGTTTGATGATAGTAAATATTTTTGCTAGCTTTTATTTTTTCCTCATTAAGCGAATATTACCTGTCGATGCTCTTATTTTAGGATATTCCTTTACTAGTTGTCTTCTTTCATTCTTGGGGATCCCACTCAACTTTGAAGATAAGGGTGAATGGGTGCTTTGATTTGTTGATTATTATCATCCATTTCTAACTTGGATTGTTCTTCAATAATTTGTTTCCCACATATTGTGGCAGTAATTGTTAGCCAGTTAAGTAAACTTAATAAAACTACTAAACTTAACCTTAATGTACAATCGATGATACAAATAATTTTATACCAGTTTTGTTTTTAATAACCCATTGATTTTTAAAAGCAAAAGCATGAGGAAATTAACTAACGTATTTAAGTGACTCTAATAATGCTAGAGAAGCCCAGTATTGTATGCCGTTAGTAATTGAACATCTATCTATAATTAAATAAAGCCTAATAATAGTGGTTATATGCCATGATAACTCGTCCTTATCTGCACCAAACTTCCCATAGATGCTGCCAAATGCAAAATTTCTAAATTCCTTCACCGTGGATGTCGCTTAATGCTTATTCACTTTGTTAGGTTCAATAAATAAAGTTTATTGCTAAGGTATAGGTTAGAAGTGGTGTCTTAACTGGGTAACAGGAGAGACACACATTTTTAGTCGAATTATGCTTTACGTATGATTGTTACCTATGCAAGTACTTAGGAGAACTAGAAAAATGGCTAGTCAGAAATTTTTTGGCGTACAGGCTATAGATCTGCTTTTAATAAGGATTTTTCGTGGTTCATAAAACAAATTAGTTTCATTTTTTGTTACTAAATTCAATTATATACTAAGCACATTTTCCAAGGTAGTATAAACAAACTTTCACTTAATGGGTGGGTAATTTTATGCTCCGTTTGGTGATATATTAAGAAATGAATGCATCTACCTACATATTGTGACTACAATACTCTGCATAAATAAAAGCTAGGATACTGTGATATTGAATGAAAATTATGTAAATAAAGCCAAGAGGTACGGTGCATATTTGTGTCGAGACTTCAGTGAGCACTAGGCATAATTACTTGTCTAACCCGTAATGGTAACACTTTTATCATGAACATTTGGCATAAATGTTTGTGTAATATGTATCGCCAATTTCTTTGTTAGATTAGCATCTCATCTTATATAATAATTGAAGCACAAGTATGCTAGAAATAATTGACGAAGTGATAAATTTTTTATATACAATTACGGTATTACACATTTAACCTTTAAATAGATGGTACTCTTGCAAGAAAGAGTATACAACAATCCAAGCGAAGATTTGAATAATTTACAAAATGGTATCATTACTCATAAGTAAAGGAAATTTTGACAAATCATTCGTACATAGACTAAAGCACTTCATGTTGATTATGCCTGGGCATTCAGGGTATTCTTTAGTGAATCACAGAACAGTGTACACAAGAAATAATGAATTACAGAACATTAAGTCGTTATGTAACTCTAGCATTGAAAGCACTATTTTTTATATTGGTATCAAACACCTTTAGATTTTATGTATCTTGAAGTATGTTACGTGTATCATGTTTCTGATTATTTTGCAAGCATGTATGTTGCTTTATAATACAAAATATGCCGTAAAAACCATTAGATTCTGACCGTCTGTTAATCTCTCGCAAGTTGCAAACCATCCATCCAAGGTCTGAGTATCTTTTACTCACAACATATATTGTAATATTGATGCAGTATCTAAAGGAGTTGGATGATCTTAGATCACAGCTTGTAGCAACGAGAGCAACTGCTGATGCAAGTGCTGCCTCGGCTCAATCAGCGCAGCTCCAATGTTTAGAACTAATAAAAGAATTAGATGAAAAAAATGGTTCACTAAAAGAGCACGAAGATCGTGTCCAAAGGCTAGGGGAACAACTAGACAATTTACAGAAGGATCTTCAGGCAAGGGAATCTTCACAAAAGCAATTGAAAGATGAAGTTTTTAGAATTGAGCACGATATTATGGAGGCTCTTGCAAAAGCTGGAGAGAACAAGAATTGTGAACTGCGGAAAATATTAGATGAGGTTTCTCCTAAAAATTTTGAGAAGATGAATAAGCTTCTAGGTGTTAAGGATGAAGAAATAGCAAAACTTAAGGATGAAATTAAGATCATGTCCGCTCACTGGAAGCACAAGACTAAGGAATTAGAGTCACAGGTAAAGCTATCTTGGTTTGCCTATGAAATACTCATTCATTTATTTAGTGCATCTTGTCTTTTCTGGAGGTGCTTGGCTAATGTATTTAAGGGCATTGATGTGTTTTAAAACACAGTTGGAGAAGCAGCGGCGTGTTGATCAGGAGCTGAAGAAGAGGGTGCTGAAGTTAGAATTCTGTTTGCAGGAAGCACGTTCCCAGACACGAAAACTCCAAAGGGTAAATTTGGCTATTGCACTAACTCTGTGTTTGGCTCAACTCATTGAAGAAATATTTTTTTTTTCTTGAGAAAGCTTTTTTTATATATGAAAAGATTATTTTACTACAAAAAAGCAATTCCCAGACATGCACTTCTGGTCCAAAAGATACTTGAGGTTCTTGTTTTTATACAACGAATTGGGCTCTTTTAGCGCCTTGCTTTGAATTTTGATTTGATTATTTGATCAATTGCTTTGACTATTTTACGCTAGAACTTGCATTGAACTATGAAAATGTGAAACACGAAATCAAAGGAGTTTTGAATTTTTATCTGCCACTGGACTATTCATGACTTTTTTTCATGGATGCCTAAACTTTTTTTTTTTTTTTTTTTTTTTTTTTTTTTTT